GATTGACAATCTTCAATTTGCACAAACTGTTTGCGAGACTTAAGATACGAATCAAACCAAGCAAGGGCATTACCCTTTATACCAAAACGATGGGAGAGTCTAGATAACAGAATCAAATGGTCGACCGTATCAAAGGCTGCGGACAAGTCGAGTAGAAGGAGTATAACCGACTTGTTATCATCAACACCACGCAGTATGTCATTTTGTACTTTTAGTAAGGCCGTCTCAGTTGAGTGCAAGACCTTGAAAGCAGACTGATACATCACATCTAGATGGTATGTCTTTACATGGTCAGTCAATTGTTCAGCAACTCAAATAATTAATTTGAGTCCAACTGAATTGCGGCAAACGTCGCACCATTCATGCGCCTGTTTCAAAATTAATAGGTTCGACGAATTCAGTTCGACTAAGATTCGACGTTTGCCCCAGGCCTTAATTAGAGGCCATACAAAAGTGTTAAGGATTGCGCGAAATATATCGTCTTTTAAAAAAAAAAAATTGGAACTTTAGCTCTTTCAAATGTTACCGAATTATTTTCTCAGTGACTAATAATGCACAAACAAACTTATTCTATCAGCACTGCTACTCAAACACGTCAAAAGTCACTCTATGTAACCATGGCAATAAATAAATGGTCACCAAACGTGGCTGAAATGAGGATAGGAATAAAAGGATCTGCCAAAAATCGCTTTGTAAGGCAGAGAGAGAAAAAAAAAACAAGTCCGTACGTATGAGGGTAGAAGCATTGGTTCACTGTGATACTAAAATCTCAGAGATGGATATTTAATAAACGCTAATACATTCAACTGGTGACTAATATGCAAAAATTTAACTTAACTAATATGCATGTTTCAATTTAAAAGAAGGGCTAAATCAGAAAGACTGATGCAAACAGATCACAGATCGAAAAAATGAACTGGAGCTGTTTGAAGCAGCCAACGATAGACAGTTTTAATTTGAGTTTACTATTAAAAGAGTGTGCCTGAGGCTGTCCTACTAAAAAGGTACCCGGGATGTTTATGCGCTTAAACATACAACAGTTTTCATAAAGACAGAAGGAATTCCTAACAAGAATTACTACGCTTTTATAATTTAGGACAATTCTTTCAGTCGCTCAACAACAAGTGCTCAACCTAAGTCCTGCTGAATAACAGCATTGGTTGCTTTTATGAAATACTACATCACGCAAACTGAAAGTTTCTGGGTTTCCTTTTTTTGTTAACACAGGAAGTTGGTTCAAAATATCAATCTTTGTTGGTATTCTTTTTCAACACGCCAACCTAATTAGAAGAAAAACAGTCAAGATTACGTCATTAACAAAATGTTCCGATTCATCAAACAAGTGCCAAAAAAAGAGTATTTTACTTCGTACAATTAGTAAAAAGGTATCAGTTCCTATTCTGTAATACGCGATACAATGAGGTAACGCATCATTGTCTCTTTTATGTCGTTGTTAACTCGTCATCAGGCACAGTGCAAAAAATTCATTTCAAGTGAACTCCTGGATTAAGAGTTGCCTTTGTACGTCAAATGGCTCTGATCTTACGCCGAAGATCGTCTGAAAACAGCTGGCAATCTTTCTCTTGATATATGCAATTCCTCGCCGAATGAGTTTGATGAAATGTAGACCACACGATGATACCTTTTTGTATACAAAAGAGACATGCACCATCCCTTTACCTGAAAAAAGGAAAAATGAAACTATAATGGCAGAATTTAAGATAATTATTAGTGTAGCATTCTTTCTCAATGATGGGTGATGCTCTAAATTTTTCGAATATTTCTCTAGATTTTTCTGAATATTTTTGCATCGACAATGCCGTTGTAAATGCATACTTACTATATTATAAACTTTAAGTACTGTTACACACGTCTTTTAGGTGGAACAGATTTCCTATGTATATACATATCTAAATTTGATAAGATTAAGTTTTCCATCCTTCCTTTCTTCCTCCAGACAGCAAAGAATGCGTATTTTATATACTTGTACCGGAAGAGACGAATTTTAGCTATTGAATTCTAGACTTTTTGCACAGATACGTAAGTTGTTTTAAGGTGCTTAAGTTACCTTTCTATCAGCTTCTAGTAACAAATCATGCAACAATATGATCGTGAGCTTTGTTTGTAAATGAAAATCTAGGCTTCCTTTTTTTAAGTTTGTAACAATATCACCATTTTCGGATCGATCGCTCTTTTTTGGGAGTGCCTCCAGCGAGTTCTTCATGCTCGTTGATTTGTGCAGAAAGCCATCTTCAAAAGCTACAACTTGAACTGAAAAACCTACTATGTAGCTGTCACTAGAAAAATACTGCTCTCACACTTTAAAAATCTCCAAAAGCATAAACTTAGTGAAATGGCCGCGAGTATAGAAGAAATATTTGCACAAAACGCTGTACAGAAGTATCGGCCTGTTCAAGCGGCATAGTTGGCTTCCCATAAAAGCGATTTATGTTGCGAGCATGACGTCATATCCCCCTTGTTCCTTCTACATCCAGATCTTTATTTGGTTCTCGACCACTTTTAGTTTGAATAAAAGGGTTTAGTTTTATCTTTTGTCTCACGATTGTCACTTTCATATCGATCACGACGTTTCGACCGCACACTGCAGGTCTTCATCAGGCGATAGTGTCGATTTACTGAGTCGAACTTTTTGTACCATCGTGGTTGTTAGTTATTGGCGTATCACAAACCTCGCTCATAGTTGGTGAGTTTTGATCCAAAGCATTGTTGGCATTGTGAGAGTTAAAAACTGATCCCTCGGCGGTCCGCTGTGGAAGAGGTCGGTTGTCATGTTGTCTGATTGTAGTCACCCACGCTTCAGGAATCCTCTGTCCCTGTTGATGTTGTGAGGGTGAAGTCTTATGTGGATAGCCTCCTTAACTCTATGAGAGTACCAGTGAGGGTCTCGGTCAATAAACTTAACTTCGTCCCGGAGCGGATAATGCCCGGCCTGATGAAGACCTGCAGTGTGCGGTCGAAACGTCGCGATCAATATCAAAGTGACAATCCTGAGACAAACGATAAAACTAAACCCTTTACACACATTATCCACGATGATTAATATCTTACACGGCACTGAACTTTATGTTTAGAATATGTGGTCAAGTTGGATTTTTGACTTTAAATTTAACGTCGTAAATAGTTATTTGGTCTACTTTTGGAACGCTGAAAAGAAAAAGGCAACGAAAACATTATTCATAGAAGCACTTTAAGGGTTCAATATATTCCAGCGCCAGAGGAATGGTGGAGCGGGAAGGAGGTTTACCCAAACTAAATGAGTAATCGGTGAATCTTACCGAGGGCAACCAGAAGCACAGAGCTGTTGAGGACGACAAACAGGATGTTCACGATCAAGGAGTCATTTTCTTCAGTGCCGTCAGAGGTGCTGTACATTGCTCCGAGACAAACGTCAAAAAAGATAACCCACAGAACAAAGGTTTGCAGGAGATCTTCAAATTTGCCTTTTATCGGGCGGAAGAATGAGTAGGTCACACCAAAGACACTCACGACCAGCAGAGTGAGACCAATCTGGGTTACTCCCTCAGAACCAAAAAGGAAAATCAGTGAGATAAATATCAGCTTTCTGTACATCTCTGTTACCTCCCAGAACCAAAATTTATCCTTGTAGTTCTCAAAAAAGACTTTTAATCCAAAAGAAAGTTCCTCATTACGCTGCGATTTTCTGTATTTGTAAATTAGTAGCAGTATCATCAAAGGAAATCCCACAGGGTATACGGAAAACATGACAGCAAATGGCCAATACGTCTTGTGCCGGGCAGTAAAGCATTGGATGGAGTAATCAGCCTTCATGAGAGAGATACACTGGCTTCCTTCATCTGAAAAGCAATGTTTGACGCATGCGCCCGGAAGAGGAAGAATTTGGATAATTGTTTTACTTGTCATGGGATATGATGCCAGCAGAAACAGGAAAATGTTCCGATAGCAGGACCTCTTCAACCTAGAAAGAGCACGTAGCTTTTCGCTCTCTGGACGATCCTTATTGCCTTTGATGTACAGCAATTGAAGAAACATGTAAACAAAGGCAAAAGAAACGACAACAAAGGTAACAGAAAGAACCAAGATAAATTTTAAGAACGGATCAAGTCGAAGATGAGAATAGACGCAACTCAATGGGGCAAATTGAAAGATATTGCCATTAAACAATTTCAGAAACTTATCCATTGCGATCAAAGTAACTGGCCAATGAACTCTGGTCAGTGCCGAGAAAACACCGGCAATAACCTGGTAAAACCCGATGACAATTTTGAAACAAGACATGATGATATCTGCAGCAGTACGATTATTTTCCGTCTTTTTGGAGTCTCCCCACAGAACCATTGCAAACACCAGAATAAAGACTCCAATAACCACCAACGAGGAAATTATGGAAACCAAGAATCCAGGACATTTCAAACAGAAATTAAATCGTAAGTAGTAGCCATGAGAACAGGTAGCACACAAGTTTCCTTGGTATCCTTCTTCACACTCCGAATCTATTCCTCCCTTGCAGGACCCAGCAAAAGGACATTTTACTGGTTTGGGCAGTGAAATAGTAAATTTAGAGTACGTATCGTTGTAGTCAGGACCAAAACTAACCTACAACAGTTGTTTGAGAAACATCTTGAGAAACGATGAAACTAACCGGGTAAAGGTCTTTATTAATCCACGTTCATAACGACATAGCAGCTGTGTTTTGATGCCATGAGCTGGACATTCTGAACATGGACCAAAGCGATCCAAACGGTGAAATCCACGCAGGCATTTGCATGCACGATAACCAGCATGTTCGTTTGACAGCGTCCCTGTTCAAAGATAAAGGAATCGTTTCTAGTTGGTAACTAGAGATAATACTTAAGGAAGTACATAGGATTTTTTTTAACTCTCTTTTACTTTTCACCGGATAATCCAAACGTTTCATAATGGTGTCAGTGATCGCAAACTCGGTTGAAACTCTTTAGGCCTTAGACGAGAGAAAGCTTAACCAGAAGCATATAACCCAGGGCCCAGTTGTTAGAAGGCCGATTAACGCTTAACCCGAGGTTAAATTTAACCCGGCTTTCTTTTTCTTGTGTTCAAAAGCATTTCCTCGGATAATTGTTACTGTTTTTTTTTTAGAGCTTCCAATCATCAACTTGTAGACAAAAAGAATTCTAACTGAAATGATTTTTAAGCTGTCAAATCTGAATTCAAATCTTGCACTAACCCTGGGTTATCTTACCCCAGCTTTAAACAACTCGGCCCTGAAGCGTAGAACAATGCTGGGGTGTTTTGGAGAACCAATTAAAATTTACTTCCTTTTATAGAATTACTGATACCCGAGACTGTCGTGCTAGTGTGAAGAAAACTTTTTATCGCAATGAAAACGAAGCGTTAAGAGCAATCACAGTTTTAGCATGTAAAATACGGCCAAAACTGGAATCCAAAATGACCAGGATTGACTTATTCCGGACAAGCATCTTACAAAAAACTACCACTAGCTTAACTTGATGACGAGAGTTAGTGGGCGCTTTGAAGAGTATGCGTCAACATTTTTTTTTTTACCTGATAGTTTTCAAAGTTGCTATCTTAATATTACTAATCTGATTCCATATTGGGTAAACTAAATGTCTGTGCTTCTGATTGGACGGCTAAAAACCTTAACATGACTCAAAGCAAATAAGGGGAAATGGGAGGTCCCCTCCCTAAAAATTCCCACAATCCACGAAATGTAGACACTGAAGTTGCAAACCGCAAGAGATTGTCCCTTCGCTAGCGAGTCTTTTACGTCTGTTTTGCCTCACCACTTTCACTTGCGCTGTTAACGTTTTTTTTTTCACAGTTTTAGACTTCAGTTTTGGAACTTACAGCAATGTTAACGTTTCTCAGTACTAATTTCTCATTTAAGGAGGGTAAAAAAAATATGTTAACTGGCTTCTATTCTGGCAAAATTAAGTGGCTGAGGGTTAAACGGCGATGACGCGTTTTTTATGCGCCATTAACTATTTCTCTTTCTACAACTGGCGAAAAAATTGTTGAGAACTCAAATAGAGTAACTTCAGAGAGCACAAGAATCCGCACCCCTCCCCTGTCCCCTCCGTTCAAAGTTGGGCTGTTTGTTATTTTCTGTAGGTAGCTCTAGCATCGGCACAACATTGTATGGGGGGGAAAGGCTATATTTCCTCCTTTTGAAGTCAGTAAAACGTAAAAAAGCCCAGTTTAGGGCGAAGTATCTCAACTCATTTTGTCCCCGATTGTAGCTTCAAGAAGCGTCTTTTCTTTGTAGTTAGTTTCTTTGTAGTTCTCTCTGTTTTCAATTTATATCAATGATATTAGTGCTGCCACAGAGGGCCCAGAATCAAAAAAGCCTACTGGAAGCCAAATTATAAGGATTTGTATGGGAATTTAACGTAAGATCGATAAAACGGTTAAAATGTACATAAACCGGTATTAAAGTATACATACCTCATAAAGAGTTGTGTCTGTGTTGTTTCCTTACTGCTTCCTGCCCTATAAACGCCGTTTTAGCAAGTTTTAATGTTTTGGTTTCTCAAGGACTGAGAAGAAGACATGAGAAAACTCGGCTCTACTACGCTGCTCGAAAAAAATCACCAAAATTTCCTTCATTCCACTCCAATCGCTTCCAAACTTCGCTTGAACTTTTCACTTTTCTCGTCCTCTTGGGCCATGGCTCGATGTTTGGAACTAAACTGACTTTCTCAAGGAAGGAAAACCTTCGGTCCATGCTTAAGAGAAGTTTGGGAGCGACTGGAGTGCAATGAAGGTAATTTTTGAAGCTTTTTTTTCGGCAGCGTAGTACAGCCGAGTTTTCCCTTGTCTTGTTCTACGTGGTTGAGAAACTTGCTAAAACGGCGTTTATAGGGCGCACACAGTAAGAAAATAATTCTTCATGAGGCATGTATACTTTAATAGCCGTTTATGTACATTTTAACCGTTTTATCGATTTTAAATTCCCATACAAATCCTTATAATTTGGCTTCCAGTAGGCTTTTGTGATTCTGGGGCCCTGTGGTGCTGCATCCAGTAAACTATCATGATTATTCACACTTTTTACAGATGATACCAACTTTATCATTAAAAATACAAACCAACAACAATTTATCGAAAGAACTAATAAGGAATTAAGTAAATTATCTTTATGGTTCGAGGCAAATCGGTTGTCGTTAAGAAATAATTATATCTAAAACTAACTACATAGTTTTGTCTTTTTAAGTTTTTTTTTTACTAAAAAATTCATGAATGAGCTTGGGATAATTGCAGAATAAGGATTTATAAAGCACAAATGTGAAATACATGTTCTCCTTTGCTCTAGAGTTTTCATAATCATGATCCCAAGTAATTCCTGATAGAGGGTATTTTTATCCTAACCTAGAATAGATCTCAAAATGTAAAAGTCAGCATGCTCAAGAAGACTTGCTTGCACTTTACCCGCCCCCCAGTAAACTGCAATACAGTAAAAACCGCGAGTAAAAGCTGCATTTTCCCAAGTCAATCTAAACAGGTTCTTAAGGAAGTGGTAATACTAAGCACAAATTTAGGCGAATTAGGTCCTTAAAT